TGTGGCCAACTTGTGCGCATTCATTAAAACAACTTCCTATTTACCAATTCCAACTGGTTATATGTTACCTTCCACTTTCCACGAGCCGGGACGTAACAGTTATTCTGTAATTGTATTTGTTTCATAAGTTACTTTTCATTAACTTCAGAAAACAAATGTTATTTTTCTCAGATACATAAATAATATTTTCTCGAGATGTCAAAACAATTATCTGTCATCTCTACATAACAACTTGTATTCTCTGAAGCTAATGAGATGAATACTTGTGACAGGAAAAGGAGAGTCAGCTGGTTTATAACGTGAAAAACAAGAGACAACAACATACAAAACATTGAATTTACTCGAAGCAACAAGAGTCATTTTAAATCCTGTATATATTTCTTTAAAATGGCAGACGTTAATTGATCCTGTGTTTTCGACAGATAGCTTATTCAGAATATCACTAAAGTAAACAGAAGCACTTATCACATTATACAGGTTTGAGGCTCTTAATACACAATTAAAGCATATTTATAATACTGTAATGCATATATAGATATCATCTGAAGATCAAAATATGATACACAATTCGCACATTCACAAAACATGTCATTTATCTTAAATCTATACAGTTATGAAATCATGTCTATTTATAAAAAAGGTACAAATTTGACATCAAAATGAGACAAATGTAGAAAATAAAAACAGATCTTAATGAAAATGTGGCACTTTGTCCTCTGCTACATCAGTGACAGTCAGTCCTGTATCTGTCACAAAATCACACTTTTCTCCAACAAGAAACATGTCTATTCTGCTTTCTCAGCTTTATGCGAAAAACGTGACATTTAGGAAAAAGAACGTCCAGCAGAAAGTTTGAAAAGAGGATTGATACCAGGATAAATATGAAGCTATCACCACCCATTAGCATAGCTTAGCATACAGACTGGTCTATTACTTTACAACTAATCTGCATCCTCAATATCTTTAATTCAATTTATGAAGCCCCGCCCCCAGAAGAGTAGACAAAGGTCCACAGTTTGACATTTATAAAAACAAGTTAACCTAGAAACCACATTTAATTAGCCTATCAGTGCGCTGGTTAGCCGCCAAACGTTAGCTATTTTACTAGCTAAGTTATACATCCATCTATCTGTAAATCAAGCTAGCTAATGTTCACTATCTATCTACATAGCTAGCTTGCATTAGCTACCCATCTAAAAGATAGCTATCTCAGCTTTAGGCGAAAAACGTGACATTTAGGAAAAAGAACGTCCTGCAGAAAGTTTGAAAAAGAGGATTGATACCAGGCTCATGTACAATAAATATGAAGCTATAACCAGTCGTTAGCATAGCATAGCATAAAGACTGGTAAAGGAGGAAGCCTCACAAGTCTGTCTCATACTTTACAACTAATCTGCAAATTCACCAGAGACTCAGTTAACCTGTCAGTGAGCTATTTAGCTAGCTACAGTTAGCAATTTAGCTTTGGAATGTTATCTATCTGTAAATCAAGCGAGCTAACGTCAGCTATATCTCTACCTAGTTCGCTAGCTTACGTTAGCTATTGCAGTGTGGACCTGTGTCTACGTTCAAGAGGATATATCTCTGGGCAAAATAACTTATATAATGTCAAAGATACCCATCGTTTTGTGTCTCTTTTTTTGTGTTGTTAGCTGTTGTAGACGTTCCCTTTTGGCCTCGCACGGGCCACCAACTTTAGTCCATATCCTATGTTTGTCTCACTCTTTATTGCATGCAAACATATATTTTATTTTGTTAGAATCTGAATCTATCACCCTAACAAACGTTCGCTATCTATCTACCTATTTCGCTAGCTTACGTTAGCTAGCTAGCTAGCGATAGCCAAGTTGGTTGCTGTCATAATGTAAATATGAGTTATTATTTAACACCCTATGGTTAGACTTGCCGTTTGGACCTTTGTCTATCATTCAAGAAGTAAAGAGTACGGATCTCTGGGTAAAATAACTTATAATGTCAAAAATACCCATCGTTTTGTGTCTCTTTTTTGTGTAGTTAGTTGTTGTAGACGTTCCCTTTCAGCCTCACACGGGGCACCAACTTTAGCGCATCCTGTGTTTGTCTCACCTCCAAAAACTAAGATTAGAAACTTATTTTAACATCAAGAATCTGAATCTATCACTCACAAACTTTAAGAAACCAAATAAGTATTTTCCCAAATGTAAAATTATTCCTTTAAGCCTTTGTCATCCTTATGAAGTACAAAACGCACGATATGCAACACAAAACGTTGACAGTTTATTTGCATCACATATAAACTATATTCAGCTTTAAGTCAATGGGTTGAAACTCAGCATACTTCTTGTTATGTCGCCTATATTTTCTAAAATACATCTATCTATGTTAATAAATGTACATAAACAAACTTAGTTGTTGATCTCATAAAGCACAAAATCTATTAATACGGAGGCCTCGAAGCGCCACGGTTACAACATTTTATTATCTCAGTTTTTTCTGTAGTTATTTGTCAATATCTCAAAATATCAGATGTAGTGACCCGGTGGATTCAAACCAACACAACACAATATACCAGATGCACAAAAGAGGTACGAGGTACGATAGAGAAGATCATTTAAAGGGGACCTATCATGCAAAATGCACTTTTGTACGTCTTTCATACATGAATATGTGTTCCCGGTGTTCCAGGGAACTCATCAAGTGTCAGAAAACACAACCCTCTCTATTTTCCTCCATACCCAAATCTCTAAAAAAAGGGGCTGCAACGGATCTGATCAAAACTGATCCAGATTTGAACACTGTCCTGACGTCAGGACGGTGGCGCTACGGCTATTGGGCCAACTCCACCAATCAGGAGGAGACAGCCACGGCCATTGCCGTTCTAAAGCGCTGGAGACGCTGTAGTACATATGCCAGGCCTGTAGGTGGTGCTGTTCTCACTGAATCAACCCTTGCTAAAACAGATCTAAAAAATGTCAAATTGAGCGAAATGAGGCATGGCTAAAATGCATGATCTGTTTGGTATTTTGAAAAAAAAAAAGTATAAATATGCCTTATATAGGTATGGTCCTACACTATATTATTCAAATATAGCATGATAGGTCCACTTTAAAGCAGATTTGACTGGACCCAAAGATCTGTTGGGTTTATATCCAGAAGAGGATAAATATACCTCAGCAACCAAAACCTGTCTTTCATTGTTTTGGTAAAAGGCTCAAAAAGCTGAATTTGTCTTATGGTCTATGGATAATTCTTTCAAATATTTACTTTGTATTATTACAGATGAAGCATGTCTGATTTTGTTTTGTTCCTAATAAAACATCGTTGGGAAAAAAATATCAAATTTCGTTTTTCATAGACGACGAAATTAAAGCCTTTTATGTTTATTTATAAAATACATTTTTCTCTTGATCTCGAATTGTCCGGTCAAGAAAACAACAATGATATTTAGAGATAATGACAAATAATGAATATAAATGTTTGAAGCATGTCGTCCGTAACGTTATCCTAAAATCTTATTTGAGCATATACATATTTAATTGGCAATTTCCTCCACTATTGAAGACAACATTTAAACGTTTTGAAATACAGCGCATTGTTCACCCTTAACAGCTATCATTCAACGAGTGAAACATGACTTTCCTTATATCCTTATATCTCCTCATGTACAGCAAGTCATAAACTTAAGTATATCAATTAGTAGGGGATGATGGGGACGGTTTTTACTTCAAAATCTGGACGATAAGTGTAAAGCTTTGTGGTGAAAACAGCTTATTATGTTTTGTTGAAATAGTTACCTCCCTGGCTAACTTGCCCCTTTTCATTCAGCTCTCATCTGATTGGCTGGACGATGAAAGGACAGCAGTAAACAAGGTCAAAGTTGGAATAATGTAACTTAAGCAGTAAGGGCCGTCCCTGGCCAACATGAGGCCCCGCGCAAAGTTCTATGATGAGGCCCTCTGTTTCGCGAGCGTCGACGGGGGGGGGGGGGGATGCTATTGGAGCCCCACGCAGTCTGCATGATCGGCCTGTAGGGAGGGACGGCCCTGTAAGCAGTGCAAGATGTCGAGGAATATAACCCAAAAATAACCACGTTGCTTTGTTCAATTTGGAATTGATTAAAAGCCTCAAACAGACCCTAAAGAGCAGGTATCAACACGTCAATACCAAAGTACATCTGATGCCTAAAAGGCGCCCAAGAAAAAGCTCAACAATCATCATCTAGAGAATACGATTCCTGAAGAAATTGCAGTGTGAATGCTGTGTGCTGTACAGCCGACGCTAACCAGCAGAAGATCAGCGCTCTAACCCACTGAGCCACGGCTGTAAAAAGGTGGAGATTTCTTTAGTAAAATTTGGATGAATTGTGGTTCATATTTCTGGAATTATGAACGTTTTTAACTATTACCTTATTGACTTGAATATAAGACGACCCTGATTATAAGACGACCCTGATTATAAGACGACCCTGATTATAAGACGACCCTGATTATAAGACGACCCCTCTTTTTCAAGACTCATTTTTGGGAAATACCTTGGAAAGCTTTTCTCTGACTGGTTTACATTTTGAAGGCGGTCTTTTTGGGCTCTCCATCTTCTAACGTTACTCTCAGTAACACCATCTTTCTTTGCTGCTCGACAGTTGTTTGATGACTTCGTTGATCTCATTATCTTAAAATTGGCATCGTATCTTCTCCTCTCTTGTTTATTAACTCGCCTACTTTTGATCCACTTTGTTGGAGTTGGTCTCTGTGTCTCTTCATCTCTTTCTCTCCTGTTGCTGTCTGCTGTTACTTTAACACTCGTTTGGCGCCATCTGGTGTTGAGACTGTGTAATAACATCAAAAAGTCTAGACCCCGAATATAAGATGACTCCTTTTTGTCAGATTTTGTTCTAGAAAGAAAAAAAAACCCGTCTTATATTCGGGTCAATGCGGTACTTTTGCTTCTCAGCATTCACACCAATTTCGTTTGGGCCCATAATGCTGGAATGATCCTGTAATCTGACCCCTTGACCCCAATATTGCACATTTCAGCACCAACCCTTTTCAAACTCCGCCCTCTATACATCGGGACATGATCCTATAAAAAGGTGAATATTTTTATAGTAACATTTGGATGAAATATGGGTAATATTTCTAGAATTATGACGTTTTTTATATATATAACTATTGCTTTTGCTTCTCAGCATTCACACCAATTTCGTTTGGGCACACATTGCTGGAATGATCCTGTAAACTGAACCCTTGAACCCAATTCCGCACATTTCAGCACCAACATTTTCAAACAGCATGTCAACCCTCCCCGATGTCCCCTACATGATCCTCGCTAAAATGTCCCAATTTTGGATCAATAAAGCACTTCTTATCTTATCTCCCGTTTCTCCCTCACAGAGTGGAGGCACTCTGCTTGAAGTCTTTGAGGATGACGGAAGCGTACGTCATGTTGGTCGGGCTGCACAGAATGGACTCTGAATTTGGGAAGGGGTTCACGGGAGGAGGAGCGTTGTGATCTCTGAACGGAGACGGAGGCATGAGGGCCTCCTCGGATAGTTTCCCGTCCACCGAGTCCCCGTCGCTGTCGTGGATCCGGGCGTTGTTGTATATGTAGCCGTGAAGGAGCCCAAACTGAGCCTCATCTTCCTCCTCTGAAGGGGAGTCAGGCTCCTGGTGGAGGTGGGTCTCCTGGTGGAGGTGGGGCTCCTGGTGGAGGTGGGTGTCCGGGTGGAAGTGGGGCTCCTGGTGGAGGAAGGGCTCCTGGTTGAGGAACGGCTCCTGGTTGAGGAAGGGCTCCTGGTTGAGGAAGGGCTCCTGGTGGAGGTGGGTGTCCTGGTGGAGTTGGGTGTCCTGGTGGAGGTGGGTGTCCTGGTGGAGGAGGGGCTCCTGGTGGCGGTGGCTATCAAGGTGGAGGTGGGGCTTATGGTGGAGAAGGGGCTCCTGGTGGAGGAAGGTCTCCTGGTGGAGGAAGGGCTCCTGGTGAGGGTGGGTCTCCTGGTGGAGGTGGGTGTCCTGGTGGAGGTGGGTGTCCTGGTGGAGGTGGGTGTCCTGGTGGAGGAGGGGCTCCTGGTGGCGGTGGCTCTCAAGGTGGAGGTGGGGCTTATGGTGGAGAAGGGGCTCCTGGTGGAGGAAGGTCTCCTGGTGGAGGAAGGGCTCCTGGTGAGGGTGGGTCTCCTGGTGGAGGAGGGTCTCGTGGAGGAGGAGGGTCTCTTGGTTGAGGTGGGTCTCCTGGTGGAGGAGGGTCTCGTGAAGGAGGAGAGTCTCTTGGTTGAGGTGGGTCTCCTCGTGGAGGAGGTGGGGCTCCAGCTGAAGTAGGGGCTCCTGGTAGAGGAGGGGCTCCTTGTGCTGGTACACTAACACACCACCACTAACCGCCTCAGGAATGCTAATCATGTCATTTAACTTGGGTATGTTGAATTCGTCCACCTGCGAACGCTCCACGAAGACGCAGTTTTTTGTGTTTTTTGCGCGAGGTCCGTACGGTTCCTCCCCCCTCGGGATCTGACCCTGGTGCATCATGGGAGGGGTGACGGGGGGGTTGTACCGCACGGCCTCGCCCTCGTCCTCCTCCTCGGCCACGTTGTACAGAGTCTTAGTGCTGAGGAAGGAGTTGGTTAAGGGTTTGATGACGGCCGTCTGATTGGCCTCCTGCCGCCTCACGTGCACTGACAGTCTGTGCCACGTGTGATCTCCTTTGGGAGGGAGCCTGGCACCTGGTTCAGACCATGACACAGACTTTCCATTAGAACTATATGAACAGAATAAAGATGGACACAAATTACTGCAAGGGAACCCACAAAGGTGGAGACAAGACAGCATTTATGGTTTGTGTTGTAAAATATTAAGAATACAAAAGATGTTGTTTATAATATTTCAGGGTTTCTGCAGGGTCCTGAAAATGTTTTTAAGAAAGCTAATCCTTCAGTATCTACACTTTACTCCTTATTATCAATACGTATTCATATATTTGTGCAAGTATATAAGCACATGTACAAGACAACAGAATATTTAACTAAATAATAAAATAAATAAATACAAAATAAATTATAGCATTTTTATATATTTGCTAATTTGTCGCTCCTCTTTCTCCTAATTAAAAATAATAATATTGTAGACTCTATGACTTTGATTATCCTTAAAGGTAGGGTAGGTAAGTTTGAGAAACCGGCTCGAGATCGCTAGAATTTGAAAATACACAACCAGAGAAAATCAGCCACTTCCTCACAGAGCCCCTCCTCCAACACACACGAACGCGCACATGACCAATGAGGGCACGAGATAAGTTTGTGCACAGATGGAAGGCTGACAGGCAGGTAGGCCATCCAGTTATTTTAGCCGGGCCGGCTCAGATGATTGGTCGTGCTTTTTACAGTACCACAGCTTCCACAGATGATATTTATTTATGTTTTTTTTGTCAAAGCACTTCAGATATTCATTGCTATCGGGATGTTAAGAGCATTCCATGGAATATAACAAAAAGTGTATCTCGAGCCGGTTTCTCAAACTTACCTACCCCACCTTTAATATCGTTAAATGAAATATGTCCTCTGAAGAGAACACAGAATAACTCTATATGGAAAGAACAACACAAATATTGATATGAATAGTTTTAGACCAGATTTTCTCTACGGGTTTCCATCGTGTTTTGCCCGTAGTGTAAAAACCTCACATTGAACGGTGTGTGGTATTCTAAAGGTGTGTGTGATTATATTAAGGTGTGTGTGATCTTCTAAAGGTGTGTGTGATAATATGAAGGAGGTGTGTGAACCCTGCAGGAACCTGTCGTCTGTAGATTAGATCGTCTGCTCCCTCAGCTCAGAGATGCTGGTTTTAATTTAACTTCTCAGGTTAAACGTCTGTGAGGATTGAGCGCCGCACAGCTCAGGTGTTTCTCTAACGTTAAGTACAGAGAACCAGCACCTCTGAGCCTCTGGAGCGTGCTCAGTCATAATTACTGCACCCACCTGCCCTTCTTCTTCCTCCTGAACATGTTCAGAAAGCTGCTGCTTCGACACGCCATCTTCCCGTCGCCCACGTGCATCCTCACAGCGTCCGAAGTGGTGAAAGCGCTGCGCACGTTTCTCTCCGGCTTGGCGAGGATGATGTACATCTTGGGCGTAAACATGCATCCCAGAGCCACCGTCACACTGAGGCTCACGGAGAACGACGTGGTGATGATCTTGTAGTTGCTCCCGAAGTAAATGGGAACGAACGCCAGCCAGATGATGCAGGTGGTGTACATGGTGAAGGCGATGTACTTGGCCTCGTTGAAGTTAGCGGGAACATTTCGGGTTTTAAAAGCGTAATAAGTGCAGCTGAGGATGAGCAACCCGTTGTATCCGAGTGGCGCCACGACCCCCATGTTGCTGGTGTTGCAGATGAGGAACACTTCACGGATGCTAGGGTACGATTTAACGGGTTCTGGGGGCTCCATGATGATCAAAGTGACCTCCAAAGTCAACTGAACGCTCACCAGAATGGAGGCGATGACAACCTGCGCCCACGCACTCATGAAGCGAGGTTTCCGGGTGCAGATCTTCTTCTTGCTGCCGGCCAGAATGCGTGCGATTCGGTTTGTCTTTGTGACGAGAGCAGCGTAGCACATGGCGGCAGAGAGACCGACGAGGAGGCGTTGGAGGTAGCAGGAGAAGATCGTGGGTCGGGCGATGAGTGTGAACGGACACAAGAAACCCAGGAAGATCCCGGCCAGGATGATGTAGCACAGCTCGCGGCTGGAGGACTTCACAACCGGCGTGTCGCGGTACAACACGAAGATGAACGCCACGAAGGAGGTGACCAGGATGCCGAGGCAGGAGAACACCACCTGCAGAGGGGAGAGGAAACGTATAATGCAATAAGAAATCAAATATAAAATAAACTACATATATAAAAGGGTGAAAAGTGTAAATAAAATAGTGCATTCATAACTAAAAACTCTTTGGATGTATAAATAATAATACAACTAATATATATATATATAGCACATTTATAACCACCTTGACCAAAGTGCTGTACAGCGAACAAATCGTATAGAATAACACAATAATCAAATAATAAGACAATAATTCAAAACAAGATAAAAAAAACTGAGGCAGGAGAACACCACCTGGAGAGTGGATAGGACAGGAACAATTATATAATGCAATAAGAAATAAAATATAAAATAAACTACATATGTAAAGGGGTGAAAAGAAATAAAATAGTGCATTCATAACTATAAAAAAAATGTGCAAGAAAATAAAGATATTGCATGAAAAAAGGAAATAAAACCCCACCTGGATGATGGACTCTGGGTTACTCCACTCCAGGTAGCGCAGGGTGATCGGCTCACAGCCTGGAGACAAGAAGAACACGTGATTATAAAACACAGCCAACAGACTGTCTATCAAAGCAATGCAGGACACTCATCTTAGCATGGAGGTGAGGTTTCTGAAAATCATGAGTAAAGCTAAATTAGTGAGTTTTAATTTGAGACGAACAAAATGAAAAGTCTAGCGGGCTCAAAGCCAACAGACTGTCTATCAAAGCAATGCAGGACACTCATTTTAGCATGGAGGGTAGAACTCAGACTAAAAGGGAAATAACGGTCAAATTTAGACGAACAAAATGAAAGTATTAGAAGTCTTACAGCCCTGAAACAATACAAACACTTGAGCAGCTCATTAGGATGTTATCATTGCAGCTTCATCCTGGAGGTTAGATCTCAGATTATTAGGGAAGAAGTGAAATAACAGTCAAATTTAGACGAACAAAATGATACGTTTTAGAACTTCATAGATGTCGGGTTATTTATCTTATATAACGAGTCTTCTTTCAGACTAGTGGACAGAAGACCTCTTAATCCACATCCAGGAGATTATCCTTCTCACTGTGTCTGCACATTTCTCCTAAACTCACCAGAAGTTAGCATTAAAGATATAATATAAAAGATAATTGTGTTCATGTCAGTAATGTAGGAGGGGGGGGTTTCATGGTGGTGTTAGTTGGAGTTTTTCTTTATTCTAAGGTGACATTGAGAAACTCATTTCAGCTGAGGAACACAGAAAGTCTGAAAGTGGGTTTTTAGCTCAGATATAAATAAACCTTTTTGTACGGAGCCAGGCGGGGGGGAGGGGGGGGGGTGTGAGGGTGAGGGGGGGGACAAAGACCATCGCTGCCTTTCTGCTGGAGCCAAATGAACTCTCCCTGAATATCTCACTGATGTTGTTTTATTTATTTATCGAGGGAGGGATGGAAGAGAAACTGCACGGGAATCATTTCCATCTCTTCCTGAGGTCCACAGTTACACCACGAGAGATGGAGATCATGCACGAGGAGGACAAGATAGGGCAGGGAGAAATCAAACATTACAATGAGAAATAAACTACAAATATATAAGGGAGAAAAGGAATAGAATAGTGCAAGAAAACATGATGTAATGGAATAAGAAATAAACACAATAAGATAATGGTGCATTAGTGATTGTTAACCCCTCATCCCATATCTGTAACCATGGCATCATCGTATGTATAAACAGAAAGGTATATATAACACATGAACTGTATAAGATGCCGCATGGTGTTCACATGTTTAAAAGGTGTGAATAATGAATAGAGCAGGAGGTGGAGGAAGTGGAGCAGAGAAAGTAGGGCTGCAGGAGGAGAGATGATGAATATCTGCAGGTGTCGGGGGGGGGGGAGGAAATAGGACAGAATTAGGGAGAAGATCTGCAGAGAGTGAGCAGGACAAACTACAGAGGACCAGAGGGTGGAAGTATTGGAGTACAAATACTTTGTTACTGTACTTAAGTACATGTTTCTGGTATCAGTACTTTACTCCACTACTTACTACTTTTTACTTTGACTTCTTACATGTTGAACACAAATACCTGTACTTTCTACTTCTTACATTTTGAACACAAATACCTGTACTTTCTACTTCTTACATTTTGAACACTAATACCTGTACTTTCTACTTCTTACATGTTGAACACAAATACCTGTACTTTCTACTTCTTACATGTTGAACACAAATACCTGTACTTTCTACTTCTTACATGTTGAACACAAATACCTGTACTTTCTACTTCTTACATTTTGAACACAAATACCTGTACTTTCTACTTCTTACATGTTGAACCCAAATACCTGTACTTTCTACTTCTCACATTTCCCAAACAGGCTGGTTCCTTTAGTTTGAATGTGTGTTTGGTGGCGTGATCATTATTATTCAGAGTCATTGCGTGCCTATTGATTTGAACACGATCCGTGTATCCATCATTTCCTGGTCTTCTCTAAAGAAGAGGGACCAATGAAAACGTTGTCATGTTGCCGTTGTTCAGCATGGAAACATTCATTAGCTAACAATGACATTATTGTTCTATTAATATAAAGGGAGGTCAGGTACTCTTTAAAACAGCTGCTAGTTATGGGTACTTTTTACTTAAGTACATTTCAAAGCCTCTTTACTTTGACTTGAGTAAAGAAGTTTAGTCAGTACTTCTACTTTTACCAGAGTATTTTTAAACACGAGTATCTGTACTTCTACTTGAGTAAAGGATGCGTGTACTTCTACTTGAGTAAAGGATGTGTGTACTTCTACTTGAGTAAAGGATGTGTGTACTTTTGCCATCTCTGCAGAGAACAGGCTTTGCACACGTCCCTGAAAACCCCCAGTATGCAACAGGACGTGTTTTGTTTGGACTCACCCTCCAGCTGTTCGTCCGGCCACCATCCGATCTCACAGGCCTTGCAGGTGAACTCGTCCTGAACGACCTCGTTATCTTTGCAGGGCGTGCAGATCCAGCAGCAGCTGACCTCGCCCTTTCTGATCACCTGACCACGCATAAACACATCAGAGAAGGATTTGCTTTAATGTGAAGAAATCATCGCTTGTTTGTGTTGTTTCTGTTTCTGTTTCTGTCTCTCGCACATTTTGGGGGAAAAGAGACAGAATTCTGACTTTTTTTTTCAAAATTTCACTTTTTCTTCATAATTTAGTGGGAATGCTGTTAACAGCTGTTCTTCTACGCACACAATTCTTTATTCTTATTATTCCACCCATTATTTTGCTGGTCTTCTCCTCCTACATTCCACATCGCAGAAACTCCGTTCAAACATCAAAACGTTCAGCTCGGTCGGGAATCGATTGCTATTACTTTTCTCATTCATAACTTTCATAATTCCAGAGATACATCCCATAATTCATCACATTTTTAACATGGAAGTCAATGGAGAAATTCTTCAGTCTTCAACAAATCTTCATGGGACTTCAACTGCTAACTCTTCCTTCATACTTTCACTCAGAAACCTCATTCCAACTTTAAAATGTTACACATCTTTCTGACATTATTCGTGTAACACAACTTTTAAATCTGATTCTTACTTTTAGAGATATTAAACATTGTTCAGACCTTGGTACAGAGGCTTTCTTCAGATTTTAACATTAACTAGAGTGCGTGATGTCACAGCTAGAGTGTAGGACAGCTTGAAATTTGCCTTCATATATTTTATTTAAACTGCCATAATTCCCAAACCCTACATTCCTGAGACATACATTTTCATGACAAACGTAGGAAAACATCTCGTAGCTTGAAAAATGACAAATAATTAAGCAAAAAATAATTAAACAAAATGCCTCTTGAGGGCATGAAGTGACAAAAACGTTCAACATGTCTCCATTAAAGCCCATTGTAATTTCAGGCTGATATTTCCTCACAGCAGCAGCCGCACACCTTTAGTTAAACTGCCAAAAAGGCCACATTATTGACCCGAAAGTACACAAAAATTACACTTCAGATACTCAACTTCCTTGACATGCTTCACGTTTTGAAATTTCACAGATATCTGTTATCGTTCTTCCACAAAACGTTCACATGTAAGAGGTTAATCTCTCATTCAGAACAATGGAAACCTTTGATCTCTGGACACGTCGTTAGCTCAACTATAAACACCTGTGTAATGGAACACGATGATGTCATCACTCCAACTGACATGCTCAGAGCAGCAGACTTCAGATAAAGGTTAATGGTCCTGCCCTCAACAGCTCTACGTCAATTATGGGGTGTCATCATATGCCGTTTCCATGGAAACGCCATAAAAGACGATGTCGCTATAACTCCTATGAAAATGTTCAAAAAGTGCTCAAACTTCACATGTGTGCTAACAGTCCAGCCGTGAAGACATCTAGGGGACAGTTTTGAGATTTCTTCAAATGCCGTTGCCATGGCAACACAATGCTCGCCATGAAACACGGTTTTCTCATAACTTCAGTGAAAATGCTCCAAACGGCCCAAAACTTCACAGGTTTGGTAACGATGCAGCCATCAACGCATCTAAGCGTATTATGGGATGTCATCAAATGCCGTTGCCATGGCGACAGATCATTCGCCATCAAGTTAGTTAAAAAGTTTGCAGTTCAAATATTCTGCTGCTTTTCCAAGCCTTTTTACTTTCTTTTCTTCTCTCATCACACATTCAAGCCCCCAGTGTTCATGTATCATTTCAATCTAAATTCTTCACTTTCTTCTTACACATTACATTTCAGCATAGCAATTTAGCGTCAGCTTTTCAGCATAAAGCATTCCCACTAGCAATTTCTTCAGGAATTGCATTCTCTAGTTTCACTTTCTTCTCAGATTTTCATTTTTTTTTCAGTGTTGGATTTTTTTCTCTGAATTTCACTTTTTTTAAATCAGAATTTCACTTTTTTTCATTATTAGAATATTTGTTTTATTAGTGACCTTGATCTGCCCTCTGCTGCAGGGCTCACTGCACACTGATCTCACGACGTTGCTCTTGTTCATCATCATCAGGTCTTCGTCCAGCTTCAGGATTCCTTCGTGCCACGAACCAACGTTTATGTAGTCGAAGTCGCCCGACTCCACCTGCTGGAAGTTCATGATCTCATACCTGAGGGGGAGGAGTTAGAGGAGGGGGAGGAGTTAGAGGAGGGGTTACACACCTGTCATATTTTCAGATGTTTTTATACATTTTAATCTTATTTTAGCAACACAAAATTAATAAACGCTTTTTTTCTCAGATTTTTTCACCTACTGGAAGTTCATGATCTCATACCTGGGGGAGGAGTTAAAGGGGGAGGAGTTATATGGGAGGGGTTAGAGGGGGAGGCGTTAAAGAGGGAGGAGTTAGAGGAAGGGGTCACACACCTATCAGTGAGTTAACTGAATCAAAATGTCATATTATCTGATTTTTACCACATTTTTAGTCTTATTTTAGCCACAAATATCTAAATAGCTCCTCCTCACCTCCCTGGAGAGTCTCCGTTCTCGTCGAACCAGATGTCCTCCCCGGAGACCCCGGTGAACGAGGTCTTCAGCAGGAAGTCCAGAAGATGGCTGCCGTCCACGGGCTTCATGTTGTCGCAGAGCCCCCCCCCCGTGCACAGCAGCGCCTGCATGTCGTGCAGACCGTGGGCCATGGCGTAGATCGCATTGATCACGAAACCCATCTTACTGTCCTGCACGTAGTTCTCCTCCAGACTCTCGTACCCTGGAAAGAGGGAGAGAAGGTGAGAGGAGTGAGGGAACATCAATATCTGCAGGAGGAGAGATTGTAATTACACATGGAGAGATTAGTGAGGGGGTCTGCAGGGTACAGAGCAACATGTCACTCAGAGAGACACCTACCAACTAAGGCCCCGGCCCCACGGGAACGCATACGACAAAACGCATAGGATTAACGCAAACGCAATCGCCAAAAAGCTTCCGCCCACACGCAATATACACCGGATAGTGTCTGCCCACACGAGACAGCTCCGTTTACATCCAACCGCTGGAAAAGCTGCAGTACATATGCCGAGCCTGTACGTGGCGCTGTAACTTCCTCCACAAAAGCAGCGAAGAAGAATGGTTGTCATGGCTGCACTTCTGTTTATTCTCCGCGGTGGGGGCCAAGGGAACCGGGCAGAGTTTTTCGCCGGTCAACGTATGTTAAAGTTTAAATCTTCCAGACAAAATTATAAAAGTGCCGGTCAAAGGTCTTCTTTGTTATTTATTGAGTTTTAAAACAAATGAATAACGACTCTATATAATAATATAATACTAAAATACACGGAGCCTGTCTCTTTTTCCTCTCTCTCTTCTGACAGCGTCAGTGTCTGTCTCATGCAGCAGCTGATCCACTAAGTAAACCCGACAGTAAAAATAAACATATTTATAACTAGTTTAGTTTGAGAGGTAATTAAAATAGCTAAGGGTGGTGATCTGACTTGAAGTGTGTGTTTTGCTCCCGCTGCATCACAGCCGGAGGAGCTGCGTGTCTCCGTCCTGTCAGATTAGACTTCACTCGCGTTTATGTCCATATCGAGATAAAGATAAATAATCTGAATTCAGTGTGCAGTGTACTTTTGCGGGGTTGAGCAGCAGAGGCGGGGAGAGGCGGGGCTATTGCGTCGTCATTATCAGAAACGGATGACCGTATAGGCGACCACACGGCCCCGTTGGACCCCCCAGAGCGCTCCGTTCCCAGATCTATCCACCTTTGGACCCGTGGTCCGTTTCTACCGTTCCGTTACGGCGTCGTGTAGCTTAAAGGGCTATACGCAAGAGAAATATGCGGATACAACCCGTTTTCGTTCCCGTGGGGCCTGGGCCGAGACTATAAACTGCTGCAAAAATGTCAAATTCAAAGGTGTTATCCTCAGATGCTCAGCAGCTGCAGAGTGGACATGGCAATGACATTCTTCTGACCTGAGCTCCTCCAATGATGTGGAATAAAACACTAAATAAAATAGTGCAAAAAGTCTAAATACATGTAAATAGAATATGATATGTACAAGAACAGAATATGAAATTAAATACTGTTTGTTGCGGTGATAACTATTTAGATAGATAAAAGGGACTAAACCAGAACAAAGACCCACAAAGTGACGACAAAGGGCTAGAAAATAACCCAAAGAATGCACAATGGGCCCTTTAAAGAAACACATAACAAGGACAACACCCAGAGACCGACACATACATATAAGACTGCTGCAAAAAGGGACAAAACAACAACAAAGACCCACAAAATGACGACAATGAGACAGAAAATAACCCAAAGAATACAGAAAATAACAAAACAAGACGATTAAAGAGACAAACAGTTACTTAAAACACACACAGGGGCCTTCGGCTGGCAAGATGCTCTCAGAGAGACACACACACACACAGGGGCCTTCGGACAGAGACACGGACCATCCAGGAAGACACGTCACACGTAAATACAAATGCAGCCAAAGGAACAATAACAACAAAAGGGACAAAATGACTGAGACAGAGAATAACCAAACATACACAATGGGCCGTTCAGGTAGTAAATGCTACTCAAGGGAAAACACTCAGAGACCTACAAAATATAAAACAGCTGCAAAAAGACACACAGATTCAAAACAAACAAAGACACAAAAAGACATTTGAAAAAGGTGTAAAGAGTAAACAAAGGACTACAAAGCATCACAACATGACAACAAGAGTCTATCATCTCTGGAGTGCTGGTGTTGCTCTGTGCCGTGCACGGACCCCACGCCTCATAATCTGTCCATGTGGGATCATCAGGTGAACGTGAGAGAAGAGGGGGAGAGTTATCACAGATCATTATTCTGAACACACACACACACACACACACACACACACACACACACACGCACACACACACACACACACACACACACACACACACACACATACATACACACACACACACACACACACACTCAGAACAAAAGGCTTCAAAGAAAACCTGGATTCACAGCATGCCTCTCCTTCTGCAGGAGTCATTCAGAGTTTAAATACACACACACACACACACACACACACACACACACACACACACACACACACACACACACACACACACACACACACACACACACACACACACACACGTTGATGCAGCTGAAGCAGAGGAAGCAGCCTTAGACGTGTTAAAGGAAGACACCATGCCGTGTCTTCATAATGAGTACACGGTGTATACGACTGTTTTTAATACATTGAAAGTCGTGCTTTTGGCTACTCGATCAGAAAACATGTGCAATGTGAGCATTTGTGTAAAAAGTATGTATTTGTATTTTAACTTGGCTCAAGTGTTTGTCTATTTCTTTATCTTATATTTCTTTAGTATTGATTTGCATATTTGTATTTATATAATAAATACATTACATCTATATACATCAATCAATTTATTTATATATTATTGATTTAATTTAATTAGTTATTTATTTCATATCTTGTCATTTGACCCATTTACGTCTTTGTACATTTTATTTTTTTAATATATTTCGTATATTTATTTCATATTTATAATAGTTTTACAATATGTGTGTATTCCTTCTGTCCTCCTGTCCGTGTTATTCAAATGCAGTTATTGGGCTTTAATGTGCGATGAATAGTCGACTAATCAATATGTGTCACGCACATCGAAATAATCTTCAACTCTTGAAATGCTTGAATAATCGTAGAAAAACAGAGTAGTTTTTCCCGTAGAAATGTCTCTACGGTGTCCGTCCTCTGATCTGATGCTTTCTGTGTTTAAATCAGATTCAAGTGAAACATGTTTGGACATTTCATGACATGTTTTAACTGCAAACCATTAATTTAGAAACCCGATCTGCAGATTAAGGTTCTGCAGGTTTGGCCGAGACATGCGCTCTATTTTCTAATTAAACAATTCATATTTTAAACTGTCCATTTGTCTTCTTCTCATCCGTTCTTAGTGGAATAATAATAATAATGCAGACATGTCTGTTTCCAGCCTCAGATCTGCTGCTTTTCTCAGCTTTAAAATCATATTAAAGTCAACTTTTTTAGACATTTCATGACCTTTTTTACATCAAACCATTATTAAGAAACCATATACATTTTTATATATATTTTACATTATCCATTTCTCTTTTCCTCTACAGTCTGTTTGCACGAATCCACATGTGTCTGTTTGATACGTGACGAGCTTCTTGTGGAATAATCTGCTGCTTTTCTCTGTTCTCTAATCAATGTATTAAAGTGACATATTTTAGACATGTTATGACATCTTTAACATCAAACCATTAATATTTAGAAACCATATACATGTTTTTTTATATTTAACATCTATTTGTCTTTCCTCTGTTTGCATAAATCCACATGTCTGTTTGATACACGACTAGCTTCTTGTGATGCTGTCGTGTTAAATCGAGCAGTGATTTTTGGACATTTCATTACATTTTAACATCAAACCATTAATTTAGAAACCATATAAAATGTTTTTGATATGTAACATTATCCATCCTTCTTTTCCTCTACAGTCTGTTTGCATGAATCCACGTTTATCTGTTTGATATGTGACGAGCTTTGGGAGCTTCTTGTGATTCTGTCGTGTTAAATCGAGCAGTGATTTTAGCAGAGCGTCTGCTGGGAGACCAACACATAGAGAGTGAACTGGTGGAAGGGGGGGGGGGGTCCACTGGGATCAGCTGGTGACCCAGTTTAATATCTCCTCAGCTCCATAATGCTCCAACATGCTGCAAAGAGACGCCACGGTGTTCCTGCAGAGGCTCATGCAGCAGCAGCGTCTGTTATTGGGCTGTTTGTGAGGAGAGGAGAGCAAATACTGAGCTCTCATTGGACAAAACACATCCCAATAGCTTCATATATCAGAGGTTAACTGAGATTAATGACTCGTTTGGGGACAAATTAGACTCATTGGTTTAATTTCAGTAAACCTCAACGTATATTTCCAGAGAGAGAAGCGTTATGATTATTCAGATCGGAGGGATTCACTCACCGTCCTGCAGCTCTACATCGGGGAAGACAAGAAATCAACAATGACATAAAAACATCCACCTGATAAATACTCTGATAAATACTGTGATAAATACTCTGATAAATACTCTGATAAATACTCTGATAGATACTCTGATAGATACTCTGATAGATACTCTGATAAATACTCTGATAAATACTCTGATAAATACTCTGATAAATACTCAGATAAATACTGTGATAAATACTGTGATAAATACTCTGATAAATACTCTGATAAATACTGTGATAAATACTCTGATAAATACTCTGATAAATACTCTGATAGATACTCTGATAGATACTCTGATAAATACTCTGATAGATACTTTGATAAATACTCTGATAGATACTCAGATAAATACTCTGATAAATACTCTGATAAATACTCTGATAAATACTGTGATAAATACTCTGATAAATACTCTGATAAATACTCAGATAAATACTCTGATAAATACTCTGATAAATACTCTGATAGATACTCTGATAAATACTCTAATAGATACTCTGATAAATACTCTGATAAATACTCTGATAGATACTCTGATAAATACTCTGATAAATACTCTGATAAATACTCTGATAGATACTCTGATAAATACTCTGATAGATACTCTGATAGATACTCTGATAAATACTCTGATAAATACTCTGTTAAATACTCTGATAAATACTCTGTTAAATACTCTGATAAATACTCTGATAGATACTCTGATAAATACCCTGATAAATACTCTGATAAATACTCTGATAAATACTCTGTTAAATACTCTGATAAATACTCTGATAAATACTCTGTTAAATACTCTGATAGATACTCTGATAGATACTCTGATAAATACTCTGATAGATACTCAGATAAATACTCTGATAAATACTCTGTTAAATACTCTGTTAAATACTCTGATAGATACTCTGATAGATACTCTGATAAATACTCTGATAAATTACTCTGATTAAATACTCTGATAAATACTCTGATAAATACTCTGATAGATACTCTGATAAATACTCTGATAAATACTCTGATAAATACTCTGATAAATACTCTGTTAAATACTCTGATAGATACTCTGATAAATACTCTGATAGATACTCTGATAAATACTCTGATAGATACTCTGATAGATACTCAGATAAATACTCTGATAGATACTCTGATAGATACTCAGATAAATACTCTGATAGATACTCTGATAAATACTCAGATAAATACTCTGATAAGATAGGATGCTTTGTGCGGATGAATTAAAGCT